TCCCCTAGAGCATCGACCAATTGTCGAAGCTGAACAACGACGCGCCGCCGAAACAGCGGCAAATCTGGCCCTCTGCTCCGCCGCCATCTCTGGCGTCGAAGCCACCCTCCTCCCTTTGACCAACGGGTCAAATAGACAATTCGTAGACTCGATGAGAGTCTACTTCCGCGCCGCCATTGCGCAATACATGGCCACGGGCCCGGCCATCACGCCACCCGTCCTCCCTCCTCGCCCTGCGAACCCGACCCCAAGGGCTCCAGAAGCCAGGAGCAATACAACTCCCGCCGTCCCAGTGCTGCCTGTAAAAAGCACCTGGGCCACGGTGGCCAAAAATGGACTGCGACAAAATGCAGCTCCTATGGCAAAGGCTGTGCCGCGACCTGCGGCGAGAGCCCAAAAGAAAGAAGCTCCCAAGGCGAAAGTCGATAAGCGACTGTTCCTTTGCCTGGAAAAGGAGCACCCATGGCGGAATCTCTCAAACAACACTGTGAAAAGTAAGGTAGCGGACACGCTTAATCTCTCTTACAATGATATAACCTCGATTCATCGAGTAAAGACCGGCTTTGCTATTATAGCAAAGAACGAAAAAATACGACAAGAGATCCTAGATATCTCTCCGAAGCTGGCAAGTGAAAACGCCAAACTCGAAGCATCTTCGGATCTTGTCGCCTTACAGATACCGAACGTACCTGTAAGTATAGTTACAGTACGCGGCCCCAGGGCGGTCGATGATAAGTTGGTATCCACCAAGATTCTCACTACGACCGGCGTGCTTCCAATCCAGGTTCGACCTCATGAGACGTGTCGACCTGGGGCACCATATCGAAACTGGCATGCCCTTTTTCCCCGAGACGACGCCCCCCGTGCGGGCTTCCGCCTCTTCGACGATCCTGTTAAGGCTACCATCCACAAGCCTCGTCGAAAAATTGAACAGTGTAAACGCTGTTTGGGCTTCCACGCCACTCGTGGTTGCTCCCGCGCTCCAGCTTGCTGGAACTGCGGATCAAATATGCACTCCGAAACAGAGTGCAAGGCCCTCACACGCTGTCGCAACTGTGGGGGACCTCACCGATCGGATTCTCGGGCCTGCCAAGTCAGACCAAAAAAAATCCGGACCGGTGACCAAAGAGCAGCTCGCGTGGATTCGCCACATCGAACAAGGGGAGTTCGCGAAGGTGGCACGAGCCAGGGCTGCAGCAAAAAAGGCCGAAGAGGCGATCATCGCCGCGGCGAAGGATGTCTCGATGGCCGAGGCAACAGGTTTCGGAGCTCTGGGATCTGAAGAAGAAGTTTGAGGACACAGCAACCTCGACGATGTCCCCTTTTGGGGCATCTACTAACCAATAGCAGGATACCAGCTGGATCAAAGGTGCCTGCTAACTCATCTCTTGCTCTCAGCGGAGATTGAATAAATTTTGTTATTTGGAAGGTGTGACGGACGAGGGAATGTGTGAGGAGCGCATTTACTGGGTCCAATATGGAGGAATCTTCTGGTATTCGGAGTTGTTTTGATTTTTGTGATTTTTCATTCTTGTTCAATCAGCTGCACTTTTGGTAGCGATTCACGAGGTTGGAACGAGTTAGGCTGTAGGAAAAGTTACAGGGAACCCTGTCGGATCCGCCGGTCCTTGACCCAATGTGGAAAACATAGCTTTAGCTTAGGACCGAATGTATAAAAAAAAAAGACCAGTCCTTGACTCCTAGAGGAAATGCTTAGCTTAGAACCAAAAAATCAAAAAAAAACATGACAGGTTCTATGTATACATGTTGGATGACTCTTTTGAGGTTAGAGACACTCATACTCTGGATTTCATTCGCAAATACCACTATGAGGTATGCTTGCTTACACAAACAGTCGACCCTCCTCCGTTAGTACCCACCAAAGGGACGTTTCATAACTCTTGGTTATCCAAGCATGCCTTCATCATCCATGCATATCAGCGCCGCGAGAAATGTGGTTGTGTTTTGCCGGATTTGAACCAGCGATCTGCTGTCTCGAGTGGGATATGTGTCCTAGCTATCCAAACCTTACTTTGCAGACCAGCCAAAACGATGTACCACCGCACCATCCAGCCATAGCCGTATTTATAGTGTCGCCTGCACTCTCGCAACCGAAGTCTTGACACGCACAAAGCTCAATTTTTAAAAATCCATGCCAAAGTTCAAAGTCCCATGCACGTCGAGACCGTATTCATCACTCGCATCATCTTTTTAACTTGTTCTGAATCCTCTCATGCCAATACCAACGAACAGTCTCCTAGATTTGTGCGCCATGCTTTGTGTCCTCCGTCGGGTGTAAATATCGGCGTGGGCGTGTATTTGGTGACCGGCTGAGGCTTTAGATGTGCTTGCGAGTGCTTTCGACTTCGATTTAGATGCGATTCTTCTTGGCTATGCCAGATATGCATGGCATACTGAGCGATTACACCGGCACCACTGGAAGGTGAAGAGTTCGTCTTTGCTGGCTATGCTGTAGAATAGTTTACATTCTTGTTCTTATCATTCACATGTAACTGTCTATGATGTCACTACACCAACCACATCTTGTACAGATCTCTTTATCATCCAATACAGTTTGTCTAATTGGCTGTGTGATTTCACATCATAACACTAGTGACCTTAAAATAAATAAAACCCTCCGCTTCATCAATAATTGCCATCAACTATCACCTGAATTATCTCTGTACTCAATAATTTCAACAATTTAATTTTTAATTTTTTACATTGGATCAAGTCCTAAGCTTATGCTTGAAGTCCACTTCGGGTCGGGGTACTCTTCTCAACACCTGTCAGTGGTATCCCCCACGAACCTCCAGCTCTCACTGTAGAGTCTGCAGAGCCGAGATTGAATAACAAAGTCCTCACTTCGGTAGTGATTCCCAATCGCTTTCGTGATCTGTATCGCCTTCATCTCTCAACGCTATCCCCTACCACCATTATCATGAAGTTAACCACAATCAGATCAGATGGCAGGGTCGGAGCCCTTCTCATCACCAACCCTTGATCATGGAGGAGATGCCGTCCGATGAGTTTCCGGGGCGTACGCAGCACCTGATGCGGAAATGGCGATGGTAGATTGGATCAAGTCGACCTCGAATGTTACAGAGAAGGGAGATATAGACGGATATGCGCACCTCATATGGTTCCGGTATCTAGGTCTAGCCTGGCTGGGGCTGCAGGTTTTTTGAGACTTAGTCCCGGGCACGCAGTTTCCACTGCTACCATTTATTTTTTATTTTTTGGGGGGGGTAGAAGGTTCCGCGAAAAAGGTGGCTGAGTTCCAGGAGTATTTACTGAGCTGAATGGCTATGCATCAGGGGCAATATATCAATGATCTTTTAAGTAGCAAAAGGGAATTGGAGCACTGTACAAGGTGTGGCATGGGTTAAATAGGAGCCCAATTTCCTAGATAGTCTGTGACTCAAGTAGAGCAATGTGCCACAAACATTGGCTCTCTTGTCTCAACAGTGAGAGCTGAATACTCGTAGGAGACATCGCTAATAGGTGCTAATTATTCGTCCCCCAGCTAAATCCTTTGACTCCCTAGCGCAAACGTCCGATTCAGTGAGTATAATGAGTCATAATTGCCACCATGATATCGTGTTTGGGGTCACATTCTCTGTTATTCCCAATACCAACGCGATAAGAAAAATTACTGATATTCCTGTAAGATTGCAGACTGGCTATACTTATAGAGTTTATCTCGCTAGAAAAATTTGAGCCTGGGAAAATTATCAAAGACCTGTGAATTTTCGACGCCTTAATAACTACGCCTTGTATGTTAGAAATAACCCTCATCGTCGTCCTCTAGCGGCAAATTAGCAGTAGTTGCCTCGCAGAAGTTATTGGTAAGTCTTTCCCCTACGAACTAAGTCTACTAATCTCAAGAGGCAAATGAGTCATGACTCGAGCAGCTGGGGTTAGATGAAAGTATGCGCGAAGGGCAGCAAATATTTTTCAGATCAGGATTTACTGCTGGACAAGTGAAGAGATACAGGAGGTGATATAATAACTACTATATAGATTTCTTCGACCTGTGGATACAAAGGTTATATGAATCCTATTAGTCTCGAACAAAGTAGGAAAAGAAAAAAATCATCAGTTATCCGACTCCTGATGTTTTAAGCTGAATTGCGCCCGGATCGATTCGATGTCTGGGCTCTCATGTATCTGAGCTTAACTATCGTAGAATTTCGGGATAGCGGAAGATTCGACTTGGGTCCCAGCTCCAGCGTGCTAGTTAGATGCGAGCGTATCTTGTCATACCCACTAGTTAGATACGAGATTTGGTTAATCGCTAATAATCTCAGCAAGATGCTAGTCGTGAAGGTTCTGTATAATCCTGATCAACGCCATAAATTTTCCTGATGATTTGATAGAGACGCCTGCCATGTTGAAGGCTAGTATGTGGATCACATTAGGTGGGTTCACAGCCTGCAGTCTATTCGCTTAGTGTCTGAATTGAAAGGGGTGTTCATTTTGCCGTTGACTAATACCTCTGTATTTTCTTTGTGAAGATTCGTGTAGCCTCCTTAATTCAGCATTACCGAAGAAAGTACCACAATGTCTTGGCCCATGGTCGTTAAATAAATATGAAATCAAAAATATTGTAAGCCATAAGACCAAGACCTAATCATTAAACGTGTTCCCGGGATTCCTGACACATCACCACAAGTCACGTGTGAGCAGCCAAAGTGCCGCTATTTTCGGATACCCGCCCAATTCAATCTCACATTAAACCCCTAGCTCAATACGTCTTGGCGTTGGGGCCCGTAAATTCAAAAGGTGGCCTTCTGGTAATTTTCGGGCACGGGCACATGTTGCAGACTAGACCATATCTTCCCCCATCAGATAACTACTTCAATTATCAACTTGTCTTGCCCACAATTATCAAATTAATACTCTACCTCACTTAACCTCAAAAACTTAATACCTAATCTGATAGACGGGCAGGGTGAATTCAACAAAAATTCCTCAACAAGACTGCGACTTCTGCAACTATGACGTCCATTCGCGGAACAGCGGGCTATCACCTAAATAGCCAGGCTCACCAATTCGGAGGATCAGGAAGACCACAGGCACAAGATCCAAGTCCCTTGGAAGTGATTCGAGAGCAAACTGGCAAGATAGAAGATCTTTTGGATACCATCAGTGATCCTGTCAAGCCGTAAGCTTACCCAAATCATGTTCATATACATTATCAGGCCAAAAATTACCACGTTTCAGAGCCTATCTTACTGACAACAATCTATTTTCCAGATATTTACCGGCGATAGGTCGATTTCTAATAGTTGTAACATTTTTAGAGGACGCCATTCGGATTGTTACGCAATGGAGTGATCAGCTCCTGTATCTAAGGGAATATCGACACAGTAAGTAGGACTTTAAATTTCTCTAACGAGCATCGACAACTAATCAGAATAATCACAGTTCCATACGGCATAACCCATCTGTTCTTGATCGTCAACGTTATAGCTATGCTTTCCTGCTCAACCCTCGTTATAACACGTAAATATTCCGATTATGCCGTAGGTGGACTTATCGGTGTGGTAATTACCCAGGCTCTTGGGTACGGCCTGATATTTGACCTAAACTTTTTTCTCCGAAATCTATCGGTTATGGGTGGTCTACTCATGGTATTATCCGACTCTTGGGTGCGTAAATCAAAAGCATTTGCTGGTCTTCCGGAAATCGACGAAAAAGATCGTAAAATGTACTTCCAGCTTGCCGGTCGCGTTCTCCTCATTTTTCTATTTGTTGGATTTATCTTCAGTGGTACTTGGACCATTTGGAGAATAATAGTGGCTATGTTTGGAGCTGTGGCGTGCCTAATGGTTGTCGTCGGCTTCAAGGCCAAGTTTTCGGCTATCATGCTAGTGGTGATTCTCAGTGTTTTCAATATCCTTGTCAACAACTTCTGGACTGTATGCCTTCAATTTTCTCTCAAAGTGACAAGCTAACCATGCCTAGCTCCATGAACACCACCCACACAAAGACTTCGCAAAGTATGATTTCTTCCAGATCCTTTCTATTGTTGGCGGACTCCTTTTGCTGGTCAACAGTGGACCGGGAAAATACAGTATTGATGAGAAGAAAAAGGTTTATTAAGCTCAGAGACGTCCGATTGGACTGAATCTGGGTAGACCCTACTCTACAGAAATATAAATGTTCAAATGTGGCACGCGATTAAAGCATTGGGAGGAGTTAATTTATCATGGTGTACAATATTTCCAGACTCAAGAACGAATTAGAACCAAAAAAACTTGAACTCTAAGGATTTTCTTTGACTAGGTTTAGATCCTGAAGGTCTAGCCCGAATCGTAGCGGACGGTACCTGGGTTTAAGATAAAGACTGATGTGCCTAAAATTATAATATAAGAAGCTTATAAGCCGAATTATGCACGACAATTTAACAGAAACTCCATTCAATCTTTCAAGAGTGGAGATGAAGATGTATAGTGGAATTTACTGCGAGGATTTTATATAATTCTGTACTATCTGTCTTCCATGAACAATAACAGTCTCCAAAATCTAAAAACATGAATCGACCGACAAGAGAAAAGTGTGACAGGTAATCCCTTCTATCATCTTGATCTGGACGAGATACTTTGTCCTAGTGTCCAGATAATGCCAAGCTTTTCTTATAGTTTGAATCATATCAACGTTTGGGATAGTCGGCAGACTTCACTTCAGTGGCATCAATTGTTGACCAGTGAATTATGATACTTCGTCGAATTGTAGTGTTATAAAGGAGTTTATTGGCGCGCATCAAAGGTCCCCTGCCTGAAAATACTATCTTCGTAGTTCTAACAGTTAATTGAGAATTCAAAATCAAATTTCAGACTCCGCAGAGATTCATTCATCTTGCGGGCTCCCATGGATAGATGATACTAGCTAGACGCTGTGCACCAAATTACTAAACAATTGTGAACCAGCTTGAGCACCATACTTAAATATCCATCAAGAATCATGTAAGTTCACCATCACTTTTTCTGTTCTGCTCCACAATTTTCGGCAATTTGTTTCAGTATCGTTATGTGCTGGATAACCGGACCGAGAACGAAGCCTAACTGCGGCTCGGTTCGTAGATTCCCTGTTTGTAGCAAGGATATATGCGTTAGTTCCGTCCCGTCTGCAAGCGCAGACTATTCTCGATTAACCTTAATATGCTCGGTCCTTTGCTGCCTAAATTATAGTAATTGGAGCCGGCAAAGACGAATTCTTCACCTTCCGGTGGTGCCGGTGTAATCGCTCAGTATGCTCTGCATATCTGAGATAGCCAAGAAGAATCGCATCCGAATCGGAGTCGTAAGCAAACTCATACACATCTCCATTTGACAACTTCTCGACAATGCCTTTTTCATCATTTTTATCTGAGTCCTCAACCCATCTCTAACCACGCATCATCTCGCCTCAACGAACAATAAAGAAGTTGCTCCAATTGTATAGAGGAGCTTGCCCCATTAAACTCCATCCATCACTTACTACATATTTACGACGCTATTTATATCCGCAAGGAGGAAATCAAGTATGTGTCATAGCTAGATAGCTGAATACACATTAAATGACTCAGAAAAAATGAGAGGAAATCAAGTCGAAAAATACAAAGCCTGGGTCATGGCTTATGGGGGACTGCTGCTCTAATGGGACAAACAACTTGAGGAAGAACAGGCGGCTGAGATGTGGAGCGAGAGGGGAAAAAGGTCTCTGAAGAGCATGCTGGGACCGATATTTTTGAGGAGTTTTCAACTTTGGATTTTTTGTGAGCGCCAAGACCTAGATTTCGGCAAATTAGCCAGGAGGGCTTCTTTTGTCGATGAGTCAACGGCACTCCCCAGCGCCCTAGACGGTACTAAAGAAGTCGGGCTAAGCTGCTATACAGCAATCACGCTCTGTTAATACTTTTCTCACATTTCAGCACGACCTTCGGGAAGGAGTTGGAAGGAGGCTAGAAAGGCAGAGCGTGAATTTCCCGAGGTACCCACAAGTCTGCAGCGCCCAGCTGGCCGGCCTCTTCGAACGCTTCAGAGGGGTCACTATGTCTTCGGATTTAGTCCTAATGTCGGTATTAGGAGAGCTCCGCACCCAGTGGTTTTTGCGCGATTTTTCCCGGCTGCCATACACCCGCAAATGGCCATCGTTTCGTTGGCTGGAGAAGGGAGATAATGAAGGACAAAGGGCTCCTCTTAGTGTATGATCAAATGAGGACTTGTGAGGGGTGGTACTGTTTGAGGGCAGTTGTTTGGGAGGCATAGGAGGGGATATACTACTGGTATAGGTATCCTTGGCCTGTAGGCAGAGAGGACCTGCATGTCCTATATAGTCATAGACTCAGACAGGACAATAAAATGATTTAATAATAATAATTAATATAGTAATTGAATTTGATTTCATTTAACCAGATCTGGCATCATATAAGCTAACGCAGGTGACTACAACTTCTACCTGTAGCTACTTACATAAAAAGTGGACTGTTAGCAGATTGAATAATCAGGCTTATTCACAAGTGACTAAGCATTACTTTAGAAATAGGCATATTATTTCGGTTTGCAAACAACACATTAATACAGTCGCAGGGAGGGGTGTTATAATTACGAGGTTACATAGATAAGTATTGAGGTAGGACAGTATATATATAAAGAAGAATGTGGAATGAATATTCTGGTGGTGGGCGAATGTATTTAGACTATCTGAGGATAAAATGTATATCTAAAGATGAACGTATAATCTACCTAAGAAGTAATGGACCTGATAATATACATGTACGATTTGCTCTACAGCCATACCAATTGATTGTCTGATGTACTTATGTAATGCGTATCGACATTGTTTGGTCCTTAAGCTCCTGATAGTTAGGGAGACTATTCTCATTACCTGTCAGTAGTGTCCCCTACGATCCTCCAGCTCTCACTGTAGAGTCTGCAGAGCCGAGATTGAGTAAAAAAGTCCTCACTTCGACGAAGATTCCCAATCGCTTTCGCGGTCTGTATCGTCTTCATCTCTCACCACATTCCCCTGTCAACATTATCATGAAGCTAACCACGATCAGAACAGATGGTAGGGTCGGAGCCCTACTCATTACCCACCCTTGATCATGGAGGAGATGCCGTCCGATGAGTTCCCGGAGAGTACTCAGCACTCGATACGGAGATGGCGGATTGGATCAAGTCGGCCTCTAATGTTACAGAGAAGGGAGATTTAGATGAATATGCGCACCTCATATGGTTCCGGTATCAAGGCCTAGCCTGACTGGGGCTGCAGGTTTTTTTGAGACTTTTTCCCGCGCACGCAGTTTCCATTGCTACCTTTTTTTTTTTTTTTATTGGGTAGAAGGTTCGGTGGAAAAGGTGGCCGAATTCCAGGAGTATTCACTGAGCTGAATGGCTATTCATCAGGGGGAATATATCAATGATCTTTCAAGTAACAAAAGAGGATGGGAGCACTGTACAAGGTGTGACCTGGGTCAGAGAGGAGCCCAATGTGCTAGATAGTCATAGACTCAAGTAGTACAATAAACTCACACACACTATTGTAATACAGATTGAGGGAAGCTCGTCCCTTATCCCCTAGCTTGCTCGCTTGTAGACCGATCACGTTACCAGTATGCATCTCAACATTGTGTGGTTCTAACTGAGTAACTATGCCGTTTGTCCTAAATCAATGACCCATCTCTCAAACTGCACACATTACTACATGTAATGTCGTTATGTAGAGACTGGATCTCCTCCATGCGCCATAATGCCATGCTGCCATAATAACTACCTATGCACCAGCTACTAGATCTACCATAGTACATAGCTGAGCATAACAATATACACGTGACTACAAATTCTGTACTTAGTTTTACTTCGGTAGTTGAATGAATACGCTTTACAACCCCGATAACTGAGAGGTCATTATTTTTTTAATAAAAACAATGTTTATGTCATTCCCTAAATTTTCTCAGACTTTCTGACTTGCTCTTGGTGTCACAAGTAGAAACCAATTATTCAGTAGTGTACTCACCTCTCCCTTTTTCCTCTTTCCCTCCGTCGAGAAGTGATCAAGTTACAATTCCACGCGAATGAAAAATAATTTATAGTTTATGATTGGAATGGTGATATGAGTAGAACAAGGCTGAGGCGAATGAGGAACTACGGATTGAGTTTTGCATAGGTGTTTAGATAAGTATAATTTGAGCATATGAAAATGAGTAGTCAATAAGCTTGATTTCGCAAGGCGTAAATTGTTTGAATCAGATCTTAACTGTGTGTACAGCTAGCTAGCTTTGACACAATGTCAGAGAGTAAGTATAAAGAAGATGACTAAATACACGAAAAGAGCACTCATGCCTCGGATTTCATTTGCAATTGCCATTGCGAAGTTATGGCGACTTTAACTTCACCCCAAATCAACCCTCACCGTGAATCCTCATTCAGGGAAATGTCACCAAAACTTTGAATTAATGTTGTATTAAGATAATTGTATATATAAAATGGTCTTACCTCTAGCTAGCCTACTGAGCAGCAGAGATATACAAAAGTCCATGCATGATAAATATCATGTTGTTATCTTGGCTAATACGTGCTAATCAAAATAGTTATCTAGACGTGCCTCCATCATCCACTGACTTTTCTCCGCGCGAAATGTGGTCTCAGGCGTCTCCTTCCTAAATGGAGTAGATGCTAAGGCTACTAGAACAACACCAGAGAATACCACTAAGAGGCGGATCACGGCAAATTCCATCGTTGGCTAGTGTTTATGGTGTTGGCTGTACTCTCGAAATCGAAGCTTTGGCACGCACAAAACTCAATTAGTAAAGCTCCTTGCAAAAATTCAAAACTTCAAGCCTGTCGAAATTGTATTCATCCGCTGCTTCATCTTGTACTTTTTCTTGATTTCTCTCACGCACATTCCAAAGAACTGTCTCCCAATTTTGTGCGCCAAAATTTTTGTCCTCATGCAAATATTCGTCTTTTAATGGGCGTATATTTAGTGGCCAGCTGAGGCCAGAGAACAATCGATAAGATGTATAGTCATTGAAATGAGAATACGCTTGGTCGTATTTGCAGACTTCATGAGGCTTTGACCGGAATCGATCATATTGGGAGTGAAAGATTAACATGGCGGGGTATCTTGAAACATTTCCTTGTGAGCCAACTTCTTTGGTATCGTGAAGTTTGACTAAGCTTGGCTCTGAGAAAAAGTTTCACTCCCAGGTTCGTAAAGGACACCGCATACAGGTGATCAGTCTTTAAACTTGGCGAGATGAGATAGTGGTTTGTTAGATGATAGTAAGCATAATGAAAATTTATATTTTTCGTAAATTAAGTTGGTCCTATGAAGGAAATCGTATCTTTCCCTAGATTTCGAGTCATTCGAATTAGAAAATATGCCAAGACCTTCAGGCGCTAAGATAACGATAATGACGGGGTGTGCAAATAATTTTGAAATAATTTGAGCAATTGTTCAAAACAACATTTCCGTAATGGCCACCACAAGGAACTCCAAAAAACGCAATTCTGTCACTAAAGATGTGATAGTCACCTCTGACTCAGAATCTGAACCTGAGTTTGTTGGCGACTTACTCGAAGGTATTTTTTCTGAAAGCGAAGATGAAAATAGCGAGAATGATGAGACTGGAGGTGAATCAGACTCAGATGAATCTAGCCACAGCAATGACCTGGGCACTGATCGGGACAATAAAGACAACGAGTTAAAGAAAACTATAATCTCTCGAAAACAGCTTACTTCAGACACTAATTATGAAGATAATAATGAAGATCGTCCAAACTACTCAGTAATAGAGGATGCCAATGGTGGAGAAAGATACGTCTACGATGAAATAGATCCTATATATGATTCAGATGACTCGGACGCGCCAGTCACTACCAATACGATTGGTAACATCCCGTTAACTTTCTACGATTCTTACCCTCACATCGGATATAATATCAATGGCAAAAAGATCATGAGGCCAGCAACTGGAGATGCATTGGATTCATTAATAGACAGTATAGAGGTTCCCAAAGGCTGGACTGGTCTCACCGATCCAGCCACAGGAAAGCCTCTCGAACTTAGCCAAGATGAACTGGACATATTACGGAAAATACAATCCAATGAAATACCAGATGATGGCTATGATCCATACCCGGTAAGCTCTTACTATGTTCCTTGGCGAAGCGAATTTTTGTTAAGATATGTAGGCTACTATAGAGTATTTTACTGGTATCGAAGAAATTATGCCTCTAAGTGCAGCACCGGAACCAAAGCGAAGATTTATCCCATCTAAACATGAAGCGAAGCGAGTAATGAAGATCGTAAGGGCTATACGAGAAGGCAGGATTCTTCCATACAAGCCACCCGGAGAATATAAGGAAGAAGATGAAATTTACTACGATATTTGGCGAGATGAAGAAGCTCATCCAGATCACATAATGAATATTCCAGCTCCAAAAATGCCACCTCCCGGATATGAATTGAGCTACAATCCACCGCCAGAATATCTTCCTTCCAAAACTGAGAAACAAGCATGGAAAACTACCGACCCTGAAGATAGAGAAAAAGAATTCCTACCAACACGCTACGATTCTTTAAGAAAGGTGCCTGGCTATGAAAAATTTATCAAAGAGAGATTTGAACGCTCTCTGGATCTATATCTAGCTCCTCGCGTCCGCAAAAACCGTCTGAATATTGACCCTGCATCATTACTTCCTAAGTTGCCAAGTCCTGAAGAATTGAAGCCATTTCCGACGACCTGTTCTACTATCTTTCGCGGTCATAAAGGACGAGTAAGAAGCTTAGAAATTGACCCATCTGGAATATGGTTGGCCACTGGTGGAGATGATGGAACCGTTCGGATATGGGAACTTCTAACGGGAAGACAAATTTGGAACGTCAAGATTAGCGATGATGAAGCTGTTAATGTTGTAAGATGGCGACCTGGTATAGATGCGGTGATAATTTCAGCAGCCGCTGGGGAAGATGTGTTCCTTATAGTTCCATCAGTTTCTGATCCTGAAACAGAGTCAGCCGGTCGAGTAATTCTTGACGCTGGGTTTGGATTCGCAAAAAATATACCTCCATCCCTAACGGCCGATGGAGCCCGAAAAGAGCCCGCTGCAAAATGGGCACGACCCGGATCAAAATTAGAAAAAGATGGTGTTAATATTAAAATAACAGTGCGCACTACCGTTAAGGCTGTGAGTTGGCATAGAAAAGGTGATTATTTTTCTACCGTATCGCCCACTGCTCAGAATAGTGCCGTTGCTATTCATACGCTGTCAAAGCATCTAACCCAGATACCCTTCCGTCGCCTCCCAGGTATCCCTCAAACGGTTCAGTTTCATCCATTCCGACCACTTTTCTTTGTCGCAACACAGCGATCCATTCGTAGTTATGATCTCAAACAACAAGAGCTGGTAAAAGTTCTACAGCCTGGGGCGCGCTGGATATCTTCCTTTGATATCCATCCAGGTGGAGATAATCTAATTGTTGGGTCATACGATCGACGTCTTATCTGGCATGACTTGGACCTCTCTACCCGTCCGTATAAGACAATGCGCTTCCATACCAAAGCAATCAGAGCAGTCAAGTATCACAAGGGTGGATTCCCTCTCTTTGCTGACGCCAGTGATGACGGGAGCTTACAGATTTTTCATGGCAAAGTTGTCAGCGATTTGATGGAGAATGCTACTATCGTCCCAGTTAAGGTCCTGCGAGGCCATAAGGTTACTAGTGCTCTCGGTGTTATGGACATCGATTGGCACCACAAGGAGCCCTGGTGCGTCAGCGCAGGAGCGGACGGGACTTGTCGACTATGGATGTGATATATGGAGTTAGCTTTTCATAGCAACGGTGTTTGGATGATCCGCTAATCTTTCCATTACATTTTGCCTTTCTCTGTCAGTTTATAATTTCAAAATATTGGCCACAACAGATAAATGTTTTATAATTCAAATAGACCTATTTTTGAGCTCAAGATACCATATAAATTGCCTGATGACAGGAATGAAAACGGCTACGATAAGACCATCTCCCACATGCTGTATGTCAAGGTAATCAATAGCTACCTCATGATAACAACTTTTATCACAATTATGAACAATTTTATCTTAAACTAAATACTACTCAACCAAAATATCTACTTTTAATCTCAAGCACGTCAACTAAAATCTACCGATTTACATTTGTTCGATCCAATCATAAAAAATAAGATTAAAGAGTTGAAAATCGTCTTTTACGTTGCATGTCGAAGATCAGATTTTTTATTCAAACAACCCATTGATTTGTTCCCACAGCGTCTAACTTAGTGCTATTTAGAATTTTAATATTTTGTCATTTGTAAATATATTATTGGAAGGATTATCTGGCTCATTCTGTCAATCTTTCCAAGACACTTTATCTAAGATTAAAAGTATAGAAAAATAGAAAAATATAGAGATGATGTACAGTAATTGTCTAGTTGCAGTCTCATTTACAGAATTAATTAGAGGTACGAGACTCAAAAACCATCTGCGGTGCCCCCAACCGACATCCGGCTCTCACTAAAGGGTCCAAAGAGCCTAGGTTAACCAACATCTTCATCCTCACTCTTATAAAGACTCCCAATAACTTTCGTGGTCTGTATCGTCTTCATATCTCTCCAAATCCCCTAACATAATTCCCATGAAGCTAACCACGAGCAGATCAGAAGTTAGGATCGGAGCCCTACTCATTACCCACCCTTGATCATGGAGGAGATGCCGTCCGATGAGTTCCCGGAGAGTACTCAGCACTCGATACGGAGATGGCGGATTGGATCAAGTCGGCCTCTAATGTTACAGAGAAGGGAGATTTAGATGAATATGCGCACCTCATATGGTTCCGGTATCAAGGCCTAGCCTGACTGGGGTTGCAGGTTTTTTTGAGACTTTTTCCCGCGCACGCAGATTCCATTGCTACCATTAAATTTTTTTGGAGAGAAGGTTTCGTGGAAAAGGTGGCCGAATTCCAGGAGTATTCACTGAGCTGAATGGCTATTCATCAAGGGCAATATATCAGTGATCTTTCAAGAATTATGAGAGACAAGGAGCACTGTACAAGGTGCGGTCTGGGCTAGAGAGGAGCCCAATGTGCTAGTTAGTCACAGACTCAAGTAGTACAATAAAAACATACTCACTCACCGCGAACGCCCGGTTCGTGATATTGGCTGAGTCATCAAGACAATGACTCAGCAACTGAGAGATGCACCACGCTTAATGCAGAGCATATTAAACTACTTTCTGACAAAATAAATAATTCAATTGTCCTGATTTTGCGCCTTGTGGCCCGTGCGGGATTTATCGGAAGATATGTACTTTGAGTAGGATGACACAATTTGAAGTTTAGGACACTCACACTCAGATTTCATTCGCAGATACTACTCGAGGATAACCCTAACGGCGTACTGCTTCTTCCGTGCATGCCCACCACAGGAAAAAGCATGAAGACCATGTGGTTATCCGAGTGTGCTTTCACCATCCCATGTAAGCAATCTCTCCGGAAGAGAGAGTGATGATGTGTCTTTCTAGAGTCGGTCCACCCTTAGCCTTTTTCAAGAGGGGCGGATGACTGAGTTATCCAATACGTTCTTGGGAGAACTGCCCGAGTGGTGTACCACTGCACCATCCAACCCTGGGGTATTTTTATAAGATACCAAAAGCAGTATATCAAATGAATAAAAATGAATTATAAGTGAATATTATTCTATCGCTACACTGCATCTACTTTATGGCCTTTTGTTTATGCGCATACACCGTATTGTACCAACAGTATACCACATACACACCCACCAATCTTTAACAGGACGCTCGAGACGGGTAGTCAAATCTTCAGATCTAATCCTGATGTCAGTAGTGTGAGAGCCCCGCATCCAGTTCTTTTGCGAATTTCTCCGGTTTCCGTATACTTGCAAATTGCCATCGTTTCACTGGCTACAGAGGGGTGATAAACATGGGGTGATGGCTCCTTTGAGCGTGTGGTCGAATGAAGAGCTGTGCGGCTACAACTGCTGAAGAGAAATCGATTAGGAGATATAGAAGGGAGTAGACTACACAAGGCATAAATACTCCGGTCCTGTGGGCAGAAAGGACCTACAATAATAGCCCTAGAGAGAGCTTCTTGCGAACGCCACGTTAAATGTCCAAACGTGAGAGCGAACACAAGAATTGAATGAGTTGCTTCCCGCTACAAGTCAGGCATGGCACTAGAATATCTTATCCTACACCTCATCACGTCCCTTGGCATCATCACCAGCCTAATATTTCTTCGAGCAGACCGTACTTTCGTCTGTGAGCTGTATTCAGTCCCCTGTAATCATATCTTACTTTACAAAATTTCCTTATATGATCGTAGAATCAATAAGACAATAAAAAATTTCCCTTTGCGGTACCACTTGCCGCTAAGATTAATGACCGAATATTCAACAACATTTTTCCATTTCAGATGATAAATCCCTTGATAAGTCAAGCATACCAATAGGAGAATCTCTGACAACCCTAATTCTGACGGGTACAGTATACTTGTGAGAACCACGCAATATAACAATGTGACGGAAACCGAGTTGGTGATGAATAAATCGATTTAATAAACTATATGAGGAGAAAAGCTAACTCTAGCTACTACTAACAGGTATTTATAGGAGTTAATCCTCCTCGTGAATCTACAGACTAGTGACTTGTCCTTAGGCACAATACTTCTTACCCAGCCACGTATTTCCAGGTGTCACTAAGTTGTAATAACGCTTCAGCCTCCTGAGTAGTAGTCGCGTTTCTTTCAGCTTCATCTCCCCCTCATACAGCCTCATAGTAAGAATTCTTAGTAACAGGCTTAGGTATCCACCTAAGCTCAAACAAAGGTCAAACCGTAACAAACAAAAGGATAACTGGAACCAGATCAGTATGCTTGGATGTCGAAGAATTTATGTGATAAGGCTACGTACAGCGCTTCAGAGCTATTCCTTATATATCACATCTTTCCTTGCCACCGGGTGGACAGAGAGAGAATGTATCCGCTTTTCCGAACCAGGTGTAGTCAGAGTGCCATGGTGTCCAGGTCATGTCGGCATATCTGGCCATTAAAACGCTGACGCACTTGCTGAACAGGCATGCGCAGCCCCTATGGCCCCCCCTATGCCACCTATCTCCCGCGCAAACAGAGACACTATCTCACGACACAGAGCCTCCACAGCCCTTTACTGGTCCCAGAATTCTCCCTAACGATATCAACAGCTGGTGATTAATGCCAATATTGGGAGCTCCCCGAACTCAAGAACCTCAATCGCTACGCTCTTAGTCGCCTTCTTGCAGCTCGCTCAGGTCACGGGGACTTTACTGACTATCACCGTCGCTTTCACCACTCGGACGCTCTTCTGATCTGCGCTTGCGGGCTAGAAAAGTTTCCCGAGGACTTCTTCTTTTTTCGACTCAATCGGAGTCGGTCCCGCCTTTGCAGCGGAAATAAACAGCCAACGACGGGAATTCGCTGGACTCTAGGCTCTCCCGAAGGAGCCATAGCTTTTAGTAAATGGCTTCATGAAATATGCTTTTTTGAAGCATACAATAACAAGACTAACTAGTACTCCAAGTTATAAACACTTGGCCTAAATTCACTATGGCACAGATTGAAAGATTATTCGTCTATGTGATGGATTACTTTCCTGTTAATATATATAATTATTTATTTGCTGTATTAGAGAATAAAAGTCTCAGCTTGAAAGTACTCTTGGCTTCTTTCGATAGTTCGGGGTGCATGGCAAGCAGGCCTTGGCTCATTTCTAAAATTTGGGGCTTTTTTAAAAGTATCAGCGCGTTTGGTGGTTTATATAGACTGAGCTGGCCAACATGAGACCTTTCGGTTGTGTTGTGAGCTAGCACGGCGTTATATGATAATGAATAAATATAAATACTACATATCAACTTTCTCTTATGGGAGTAAACGTCAAAAAAGAATCAAGCTCTTAGAAATTCAATAATTTAGTTTTTAATAAAAAAGTTAGAGATCTCTAGTTATGCGGGTCACTTTCTGCGGTGGGAGTCATATTAGTAAAGACAAAAGGTTTTGTGTTATGCTACGTAATAACTTTCGCTTAAAAGTCAGGCTAGTACATAGTATATATTTGATTTAATTCTTTATCTCTCGCCTACGGGCATTTGGTCAATTTGAAACGATACAGAGAAGATTAGCATGGCCCCTGCACTAAGGATGACACGCTCAATCAAAGAGAAGCTACCAATTTTTTGAGATTTCTTCTCGAGATGAGATTGTCTCAGTGCATGAACTTCGGTAGCAGTCACAAGGTTTACCATTACTTCTTGTATACAAAATTTTAGATGGTTTTCAGCTTTGAGCGATTACACGTGATTAATGCTGTTTTTACGTATGAATTGACGTGACTCAAAAACACTTGATTGCCCTGGCGCAACGTCAATTTTTATCAAATTCAAACTTCAAACATCTATAGTATAAAGATATAAGTGATATGCGAAGAAGCATGAAGATTTCACTAAGTGGACTAACTAACTAAATAAGTATGTACAGGCTGTCACGTGATCCAGGTTATCCACTACAATAAGATAAAGACTATTTGGCGATACATGTATCGCAACATGTAAATCTACCAGTAAACTGATTACATGTTTACGTCTACGATAGTGAACAAATTCAAACCCCCATGAGATTGCCAAGAAAAATAGGATCAGATTCAAAGTCTCAAGCAAATACGAGCTTATCGAAATTTGACGAATTCTCAAAAACATCGGTAATATCATTCTCATTTAAGTCCTCACCCTCAATCCAATCACATATCATT